CACACTGTGTAACAAACGTATTATATGTATGTCATGTTCATGTAACATTGACTATCTACAAAAGAATGTCATATGTTTCACAGTGGTGAAGCTTAACATTAAAGCACATATTAAACCCATTATTGCCCACAAGAGTGAGAACAGCACTGAAGCCATTGGGACACTTAGTGTCTTCTTACCCAACTCCACCCTCTGTCTCCCCTGAATTTCTGTTCTGGAATGCTCAAATTTTCTTTGTACTTAAATAATGAACAGAAATTTTGTTGTCCTTGCTTCACTTGTCAGACATACACGAAATACTGAAAATAGATTGAAATGGATTCCTGTCTCTCAGAGCTAGTAAAGGGGGGTTATTCAAGTCTGAATCATCATTTAACCACTGCTGGGGTGTAAGCTCTGATGGCCTGTGAGTGTCATTTCACAGATCATTACAATCATAGATCCCTACGGTGACAAGCACTCTACTGGGTCCCTTATATCAATTACCTAATTTCACATAGTTAATATTTATCATTAAACATATGATGAGATGATGGATTTTATCTTCATTTTAAGGGCTAGACTACAGATGCTCAGAAAGGGTAAGTTGTCTGAAGTCTAGAGCTGGTGAATCTGGAATTTGAGCCCTGTATTTCCTTCATGCAAATGCTATTGTCTTTCCACTTTTGTGCAGGTAACTGATCAATATGCGATGGATTAATAACGGAGCATCAGGATGTGACTATAAATGTACTATTTGTGGTCTTTTAAAAGGGTTTACATTTTGATCAGTGGCATCAACTTAGGTAATTTTTTGTGTGTTAAAGTTTAAATTTATGGCATAAAGTTGAAAGAGTATGAATTAATCTTTGAAGAAATAGGCTAACCGGTTATTTCATGTTTGGCACAGTCTCTGTCTAATTAGTCTTTCTCAGAACTAAATGTGGCACTGCAAAATTCCAAACAACTAGCATTATTGGTAAAAGTTATTTTTTAGAATGCAGGCATGTCTGTGTATCTACTATGTTTAAATATATCTATTTTTAGCAGAAAAATTCAAACTCAAGAAAATTATTAAATATGATTTAAGAAAAGCTATATATATTAAGCCCAAGGCCTACATATGTTTATTGATAAGGTTGAGAGTCTGAAAAAGAGCAAAATTAGTAAGTCTTCTTTATTCATACATTGGTTTATTCATTTACTCTGTATCTTTAACGATACTAAAAACTATCATTTTGAGTGCTTATATGTTTGTGGAATTTTGCATTCTTGATCTTACAACTGCTTTTTATTCTTTTAAGATTCCTGTCAGACAGGTATTATTATGTCCATTTAACAACGAGAAGTTAACTCCGACAAAGTTTCACAGACAGAAAGTGGGATAGCCAGAATTCAGTCCCAGGTTCCTCTGACTAGCAAGGTTGTACTTGTCTGCAGAAGAAGGTTCTTGAGATTTGGCAGAAGGAAATCTGGAAGCGGGTGCTCAGAATCTGGGCCTCACAGGGTTTGATGCGCCACAGGACAGGGGACAGCCTCTCTGAGTCGGCTTGGTGGGTCGGATGAGATGGTATTTGAGATCTGCTCTCATTCAAAACAAACTTCTTTTACATTTACTCTTTCCACACATATTATCAGCAATTTGGCAATCATATTTCTAGCACCATCTTTCCTTTGCTATGTTATCATGTGCTTTTCAAAAATTTAAAATGGACTCACTGTAGTATACTCACATAATACAAGCATGTACTGAAGAGAGTGAACTTGTCCTCTGATAGTGTCACCTAGGGATAATGACTACCAACTGTCCACGGTTTACGGGAAGCTCTATGTCTCAGGCATCTAACCAGAGTGGTGACCCTCACTTTAAATGGTTGGCATGACACTAAACGCTCTGTTCTGTGTATTCCGTGTAACATGAAACAAAAGCAAGAACTTACTAATATCAAGTAATTCTTAAAGAAATCTTTTTAGTAATTCAAAAATATTTAGTACAGCCAACAGAGACTTTTTCAAAGCAGGGGAGGGACATGTGGAACTATCTGGAAGTTCAGACACAGAATCTAAATGTTAGGATTGCTTCTAAGGGGCACACATCTTGTACCTTGTTCATGCAAGTTATGGTGATTGATTGCTATACATTTTTTTTAAGTTAAGTCTTTATAATCACTCATTTTACCAATTAAAAGTTATTTTTAATATATCTTATGATTATTAATTAGACTTTCTGGTGAACATTTTATTTTATTTATTTTTTAAAATTAATTTTATTTAGTTATTTTTCAAGTACAGTATTTTGTCTATTTTCCCCATCCCAGCCTCCCCCGCCTGGTGAACATTTTAATGAAGGTATCTGATACTGCTTAGTAATCATATCTGGCTTGTCTATTTCTGACCAGCATAATTCAAATACTGACTAACCACTCCTAATGAAATAGTACAGGGTGGACACATGCATCACAGTATTTACACTGGTTTTAAAAAGTTAATTCCTGTGCTTTGGTATGAGTTGAAAACTTATGTCCACACAAAAAGGTTTATAGCAGCTTTATTCACAATTTCCAAAATTTGGAAGCAGTCAAGATGTTTCTGAGTGGGTGAATACATAAATTAACTGTTACATCTACAGAATGAAGTATTATTCAGCACTAAAAAGAAATGCATGTTACCAAGTGCAAGAAGCCAGTGGAGATTACATGTCATTATACATTTGTTCAAACACATGTGTACTTTACAACACCTTAGTAAGTGAACTCTAATGCAGACTGTGGGCTTTGGGTGGTAATGGCACGTCCCTCTGATAGAAGGTTGGTGTTACTGGAGAAAGTAGCATGACAGAGGAATACTGAGAGAACAGGAAAAATGAGTAAAATGTAGTCATAGCCCTTAAAGAAAGAGAAGCCTAATACTGTGTCCTGAGCATGCAGGGAATCCGGCTGGTGGAACAAGACAGGTTCATGAGTGACACGCACCCTCACACTAAACTGCTCCGGGAGAGAGTGTGGGTGTAAAGGCAAAGGAGCTGATTTTCTTCCAGTGGGAGCAGTGGGCTGGTTCTGAATGGACCGAGCAGCTTCTGAGATGACTCCTCAAGGAGAAATGAAAACACTGGAAGGGCAGCCACCGCAGATGATGGGCATGCTTAGAAATTCATCTTTCCTATCTCCAGTGTCTAAGATTTCTCCCAATCACTGTGTGAAAGAATAGGCAGGAAGCCCTAGCCAGAGTGGCTCAGTTGGTTGGAGCATCGCCCCGGTAACCAAAAGGCTGCAGGTTTGATTCCTGGTCAGGGCACACACGTAGGTTGTAGTCCCTTCCCCAGTCCAGGGGTGTAAGGGAGGCAACCAATAGATGCTTCTTTCTCACATTGATGTTTCTCTCACTATCTCTCTCTCTCACACACACATCAGTGTTTCTCTCTCTCACTTTCTCTCTTCCTTCCTCTCTCTCTCTAAAAAAAGCAATTAAAAATGCCCTTGGGTGAGATTTTAAAAAATACTAATAAATACAAGAAAAGAATGGAGAGGAAGGGTAACAAAAGCAACAACGCAATTCTGTCTGGCTACAGTTTGGGGCTTCGACTATTGTGTCAGTCTATTTTAAAGTCCTCACACTCATGTTTGTGCCGACATAGAGGAAGCATAGTGAATCAGGCTTCAGGACCACCTTTCACTGGCAACCTTGCTTGTCACCATTACGTCTAATGTAATGTTCCCCTGTAAATGCTAAAAGTGTTTCTCAGGACTTGTCAATGTGGAAAACATTTGGATTTGAATTAAGAAGTACCTTGGCATGTTCCCTCTACCTCTGAGCATTTGAAGAGGATATAAATTAAACCAAAGGATGGCTTACTAGTAATCCCCAGCCTAATATATCTTCTATTTTAAAGAAGACACAAATTGAAAAGCACAGGTCATATTGCTCAGTACTCAAATCTGTGGGATTATTTCAGAGCAAAACAAGCATTTACTTGCCACAGTGTGCTGTGGGAGGTTCACGGATGCCATGCTATCCTCTGGGGCTGAGCAGGTGCCTTATTCCTCTCCACATGTGTCTGTGTCAGAGGCTCCCTTACTCTGAATAATCACCAAAAGTACCTGAAAATACTTGTGCTATAGACTTGGTGTTTAAAGTGAAAATCCTTGATAGTGAGTAATTATACTCTGGTTCAAAAATTTAAAAAAACCACAAATAAGCAATGAATAAAGTGCAAGTCACTTCCACTAAAAACAGTAAAAGAACCCAGTACTAACTGTGTTGTTCTCCTGAGGTCAGAAGCCAGATCTCAGGGTAGTACCTCCTTTTCTGGGCATTTCATCAGCTACTGGGTCCCTGGTTAAAGGGACAGAAAGACCCTATTCTCTGTTTTGATTAATGATGGTTGGAGTTCTCTGACTCACAATTTCCCTTTTTTTTCCAGTAGCTTTTTTTTTGTCAATAGAAACATCATTTCTACTAGTGTACAGGGAGAATGAACATGTTTTACTAAATTACTTGAACTTATTTTAAAAGCTGATTTTAAAAAATGAGTAAGCATCTATTCTTTAATATCTCCCCCGTAAATGTGAGAATTAAATCTCTACATTTCAATATTGTACAGTGTAATGTAAGAAACCTTTCATGAGAATATACTTAATGAGGCTGTGATTTCCATGTTACTAAAACAAGCAAAGTGTCAAATCCTTATGAGTTACAAGAAAGAGACACTGTTAAGCTGTTCAAATAAAAACGTTTTTCTTTTCTATAAACCCACAGTGTTTCCACCCTATAACATTAACATTGAACAGCCAAAGGTGTTTTCATGTAAGCACTGCACAACCAAACAGTAGCATGACTTTAAAAATACACAGAGACTGGGCATGTTGTTTTTCATACCAGAAATCACAAACTTGAATTTACGCAATAGACATTCTCAACCCGTACCCTCCACAGAAGGACGCTGTTGCTGCAGCACACTGTCCGGGCTCCCTAAGAATGGAAAAGTCTCTTGGGCATGTTTCTAGTGCCTCCTCTGTCCCCTTTTAGTATCTGCTGGACCAGTCACACAGAGCTCCGAGAGGATAGCAACAGATGATCTCCTTGAAGGTCTTCCTCAGCTCCTGGCTCCGGAGAGCATAGATCAGAGGGTCGATGATGGAATTACACATGATCAGGATGAGATACAAGTTGAAGTGAGACATGAAGCACACACAGTATGGATTCTGGGGACAGGAGATGTAGAATATCAAGTGGAGGAAGAACGGGGCCCAGCAGACAACAAAGACCCCGATCAGAATGGTCAAGGTGATGGCCCCCTTCATGTTGGCACCTTGGCGGATGGTGCCCGTGCCCGGGAGGACGGCGATCCTCTTAATGTGAAGTCTGGCCATGAGGAACATGTGCACATAGAGAGAGGCCATGAGAGCCAGCATGGTGAAGAACATGCTGATGAGGCAAATGATGACCACACTGCTGTCGGAGTAAATGATGAACAGAACGCCCGACACGGTGCAAGCTGCCCAGATACAACTGAGGATGATCCCAACCCGCTTAACCGTCATGATGTTATGGTACTGGAGAGCATAAAAGATAGTGAAATACCTGTCCACAGCGATGGAAAGCAGGCTGCAAATGGACGCGAGCAAGGAGCTACAGATCACGGAGTCAATGACATTGTCAATGTTCACGGTGAAACTCTGGGCGTCCGTGTCTGTGCTGTTCAGCAGGGTGATGACGATCGTTTCCGATCCGTTGGAAACGCTCACCAACATGTCAGCCACAGCCAGGCTGCAGATGAAAAAGTACATGGGCGAGTGCAGATTCTTGTTCTTGGCGATGGCCACAATCACCAGGACATTCTCCAGCAAGCTGATGACACCCAGCGTCACAAACACCTCGGGAGAGACGAAAAGTTGCTCGTAGCACCCTTCTGCGGAGTAGCCTTTCCCCAGGAAGTCGCTGGCATTGCCGCGCAGTCTGTAGGCACTGTGGTTCCAGAAGTGGGGGGCAGTGTACCTCCCGTGGCGATGAGTAGAGTTCATCCTGGGGCAGTGGGTCCAAATGCCCTCTGAGGCGTTGGGTCAGGTAGCCTGCAAGATTTCCTGAAGGTCTTTCTCAGTCCCTTACGAGGCTGAGATTGCCACGCCTGCTGTTGAGTAGATGTCACGTGCTCCAAAGCTTGAAATGCAAGTTTTAGTCTCTTTCAGGTACTGCTGTGATCACCATCCCTTTGAAATCTTTGGCTTCAAAATGCTTATTCTCAGTCAAAAGAGTCTGCTGTTTGCTGTTTTTGTTCTCACTTGCACTTGAACTCTAGTCTTAGGCATTCAGGTCTTTTGAAAAGAATTTTCCTAGGAGCTGCTGTGCCATTGGGAGACGGAGCTGAGTGCACATGCCCACATCAGCTGCTTCTCAGAGGCTCCCGCCAGAAGCGTTGCTTGGAGTGTTAGTAGCTGCTGCTGATTTTATGGTGTGTGGAGGGGAAAGAAATTGTTCGGAGTGGCTCCTCCTCTGCTTCCTTCTGACCAATCCAAGCTCCACGGAAGACTGAGACACTGACGAGGTTCAGAGACACAAGTGCAGAGCAATGCCGAGGCAGAGGCTGTGCGATGGGTAAGCCAGCAGGATGCGAGAGGATGAATTTCCCTCTGCAAGTTTTCAAGGAAAACAACTTGGTCCCTAGAGGACATCCTTTGATTTCAGAACAAGCCGTCTAGAGGCACTCAGGTTTATTCCTGCTTAAAAGAGAGACATGTGGGGTGTGTGTGTGTGTGTGTGTGTGTGTGTGTGTGTGTCTGTGTTGCTTTTTGCCCAGCATACTGAATTTATTTTCTCTCCAAATTTCTTTGAATTAAGAAGCCAGGCAGCAACGCTTCAGTTTAAAATGCCTGAAATACAGAGAGAGTATTTGATAATACAGGAGACTACGCTGTGAATGGAAAAACTATGTAGACAGCTGCAATTTAACAAAGGGTTAAGAAGGGGTTTATTTCTTGTGCACTAATACTTGATATATTTCCATCACAGAGTTTCTTATATCAGAGCTGGAAAAGTTTTATTTTCACTCACAATGGTCAAAAACCATATAGCATTAATATAAGCTATATTTACTTTAAACTCAGAAAGAGTTTGTATAACTAGGCAACACTTGGTGTTTAAAGCTTTATCGAAGTATAATTTATATACAAAAATTGCACATATTTAATGTATACATTTTAATGAGTTTGGACATATGCATATACACATCATCGGAATCAAGGTATTAAGTATATTCATAGCCTCCAAAAATTTCCTTGTCTTCTCTTTCTTTTGTTTGTGGTAATAACACTTAACATGAGACCTGTCTCCTTAACATTTTGAAATGCGCAATACCGTATTAACTGTAGGCACTGTGTTGTGCAGCTGATCTTTAGGACTTACCCATTTTTCAGAACTGAAACTTTACACTCACTGAGAAACAATCCTTCACAATGATTTTGGCAATGACTTTGATCTGACACTGAAATCACAGGCAACAAGAACAAACAATGAACAAGTGGGACTTCATCAATCCAAATCTTTGCTGCACAGGAAGCAGTCAACAGAGTGAGGAGGGAATCTTCAGAGTGGGGGAACATATTTGTGAACCAACTATCTCATAAGGGGTCACTATCCAGAATATGTAAGAATCTCTTACAACTTATTAGCAAAGAAACAAATAACCCAGTTCAGAGACGGGCAAAGGCACTGGCTGGTGTGGCTTAGTTGAGTGGAGCACCATCCCAGGCACTGAAAGTTTGCGGGTTTGTTTCCTGGTCAGGATACATGTCTCGGTTCACTTCCCAGCTGGGGAGTTTACAAGTGGCAACGGATTGATGTGTCCCTGTCACATCAATGTTTCCCCCCCTTTCTTTCCCTCCCTTCCCTTCTCTCTAAAATCAATAAGCATGCCCTTAGGTGAGGACAAAAAAATGAATGAATGAATGAATGAATGAATGAATGTTAAAATTGGCCAAAGGACTCGAATAGGCACTTTTCCAAAGAAGATATCCAAATGTCCACCACGTATGTGAAAACGTGGTCAGCAGCACTAATCATCAGGGAAATGCAGATCAAAACCACAAGGGAATATCATCTCATACTTGTTAGAATGGCTATTGTCAGAGAGGGAGAGACAGAGAGGCTGAGTGTCAGACAGGATGTGGAGAAAGTGGCGTTCTCAAGGCAGCCACTTGTACCTCCGTAACTGAAGGTGTGGTGAATTAAATCTGCACACGCCTTGGCAACTTTACTTAGTCAAGCCAAGTAGAGCCCATGCTAATTACTTATCAGCATTTCTAAATGTCTGGTTTAAGCTAAGATTGTGGCAAAGTTACTTTTCAAACTAACTAAACTCCAGGTTATAAAGTTTTACACAGTGCCTTTCTCTTGCTATGAGTGCTTTTTGTTTTTGCCCTGTAGAGTTTGTGGCTACTGATAATGGACTATGAAAGAATTACTTCAGGGTTAATTTTAGTCCTCTTATTTAGATAAAGGCATTATCTTTTTTCCCCTTTGTGACAGAGACAATGTGAAAAATCACTCCTGAACATTGAGCTAAATTAACATCTTCCAAGCCTTCCTAGAGTTGGGTGGGGTCTTACGACTGAACTGTAGCTAATGGGTCAAAAGGATGGGCATTCTGTTACCTCCCTCATGGTTCTGCATGTTTTCCATCCTGTCTGTTAGTGCCTGACTATAGGATGTCTTTGCAGCCTCATGTGATGGATGACCCATAACCGAATCATGGAGCCTGGGTCTCTGAATCACCGCACAGAACAGAACTCACGTGTCCAACTTCCCTGACACCCTAGCCTACCAGCTAATTGAACTGTGATCTGGATAAGCAATTAACGTGACTGTGTTAAGCTGCTGAAATATGGGCGTTTACCTCTCACAGCAGCCAGCATTAATTACCTTCACTTTTAAACTTTTTGAACGAAGCTGTTTACAAGCAGAAAACCCATGAAAATCCTTGTTTTTCCCTATTTTGGACTTGCATGAGTAGTGAATTACCAAATAAATGAGCAGCAGAGAAGAAATTTATTGAATTGTTTAGGTATCAGGGAGTTAACACTGTATAATCGTCCTGAATCAGCTCTTGACTTTGAGCTCTGACTTCTCTGGGTCGAGTAATTCTTCCACTTGGTTAGGCTAAAAATCCAGAGTATCTTTGACTTTTTTCTATCTTTGTCCAAAATCCCTACATGCAATCTCTTGTAAAACACCCTGGATTCCACCAGTGCATCTATCTGACTCCTCCTTTTCTGTTTGCCAAACCCCCCTTTTTCTCTTCTCCTTTGCTGTAGTCAAACTCGCATGCCAGATACACACGCAGGCACACCAGAGGTTTTCCCCTGGGTTCTGCTGTTACCTCTGCTTGGAATGCTACTCCCTACATTTATAAATGAAAATCATTCTTCTTTTGTAAAAGGTATTAATAGGTAAAATTAGTAATTTAAAACAAACTCCTTTCTTTACCTTTTATGCATTTGAAATCTCAAATTTGATTATTTGGTGTAGACTTATAAAATCTTGACCATATGGTTAATTGTGCTGAAAAGATGACATATTTGTTATCTTCCAGGAGGCACTTGAATTGTCTGCCGTAGTTCAGTTCTTTATGAGCCAGAAGAAATACAAACAGCAATGTTAGATATGTTAATGGTATTTCAAAAAATTTATTGCAGATTTTTAAAATACACACAAAATTGAGTTAGATCATAATATATTTCTCTTAGGAGTATAATCTCTGTTTTACATTTTATAACAATAAATATGAAATATTACTAAAGAGAATTATTTATCAAACTGTGCTACAGGAAATATTATTTTTAGGAAATGTTATTATTTGTACCACAGATTAAAGAGGAGATTGCAAGTTCAAACAATTTTGAAAAATATTGCAAACTCACTGCCTTCTTGAAGTTTGAGTTTACATTAGCATATAACATTTCTGAAATTTTTTACCAGAAAAAATCAACTTACCTCCTATACTTATTTGAGCGTAGAACTACCCACCTCCCCCCTCTTTTATTTTTCAAACATCTAGTATAGTCAGCTTTGCAATAGGGCTCATTTTGAAAAATGTGAATTTGTTCCAAACCTGACTGATACCTCGGGGAGTATGTTAAGTGTAACGCAAACATCGTGTTTGTTTTTGCACAGTTTTGTTCAGGAGAAACAATATGGGAAACTGCACCTGGCTGAACTGAGACACGTCAGGGCTCACAGCACATACACATGTGCTTCAAACATTTGCCAGCTGCCTCAGCTCACAGCACATGTTACGGAGCACAGTCCTCCACACCAGGTATGACAACATCTCGTGAGACTTCAGGTGCTCCTCCTTCCAGCACATCATCATAACTCACAGGCTGTAACCTCTGAACCTCCCTTCCTCAAGCAAACTGCACGCAGGTCTTTTTTTAGGTAAAGTGCCAGATTTGTTGTACGGTTGTATATGTTTAACTATAAATATGTATAAAATTGTTCTACTGTCCTTATTAGACTTCCATCTAGTTTTATCATGTCACCGATGACGTTTATAGATGCTGTGTGTCTAACTCCGGGTTTTCCTGTAAGCCCTGTGTGTTGTGTTGCAGGACATTTGCATGGCACACAGCATGTGTGTTCTTTCAGAACACACGTCACACTAGCAGAACTAAATACCACATGATCTGGAGTATACAGTTCGGGAAACATTCATGTAGGACAAATTATTCTGACTACAAAGTCCTTACTTAAAGTCAAATTGCTGAGGAAAGAAAGTTCTGCCTCCCTTTGGGCTGCAGTTTTAAGTGGTAAGCTGCCTCCCTCCAGAGTCCACTTTGCAGTAGGAACAGCAACCGCGTGCAGGAAACCCAGGAACGTCAAACAAATCTCAGCAAGTTGTTGTCCAAGCCATCAGGTCGGTTACCTCTCCCTGTCTGTTGGTTCTCTTTCTTAGGGAGTTTGGTTTTACACAATTAAAAAAAATGTCTATGTGCCTACCAAGTAAATTACCACTGAGATCCCTTCCTCA